ACGTATGCATAATTTAGTAGGATGTATGAGTAAGTGCATTATGTGAGATTCCTAGATAGGGTTAATGGGAGATGTCTGGTATTTCATAATAGACATAGCAGTCTGTCTGCCTTTCACGACTTAAATTTTAAGGACTATTGTAATATTTTCCTTTTCCAAGTTTCTAGCAATATTCTAATTGCAATATGTGGTCTACCTAATTTCCGACTAGATTAAAAATTTTGCTCTTTCTTTTTCCTTTTACAAAATCAATTTTAGAATATGCTATTGGGTAAAAATGGTTTCTATATATAAAATATTGGAGGAAAATATATATAGTAAAATGTTTTTTAAAACTTGCCGTGGTAATTTTAAAACACTTACCATGGTAAAAAAAAAAATCAATTTTCTAAGGGAAAGGATTTTCTTGTAATAGTGGATTGTAGGGGAGGAAGTTAGAGATTAGTGTACATTTCATTTTATTGTTAGAAATTTTGGATATGTACTTTACAAAGTGCACCGTTAAATTTTGTTATTGAATTGTATTGCTTAATTCTTTTCTACTTTTGAAACTGTTGTATTTACACTTATAGCAGGTAATTGTTTATGCCAGGCATGGTTAACTCATGCCTGTAATCCCAGCTACTGGGAAGGCTAAGGCAGGAAGATTGAAAGTTCAAGATCAGCTTGGGCAACTTAGTGAGACCCTGTTTCAAAAAAGAGCCGGGGAGAAAAGCTCCTTGTTAGAGCATTTGATTGGTATGTGCAAGGGCCCTAGGTTTAATCTCTAGTAACTCCCCCACCCCATTAAGTACTGGGTATTTAAAATTGAAAATAAGGGATTGGAATAAAGGTTATACAGTGAGATTAAAGAGTTAAATTTGAAGGTCATAAGCATTGAGGAGAATCTAGGAAAGGTGTGGTATAAAGGAAACCAAGGAAGGTATTTTAAGTGTGAAAGACCAACAGTGTTCAGTGTTGCAGAAGCCTTAAATGATTGGCTAAGAAGAGACAAGTTAGCAACCAAAAAATTAGGAATACACACATGCACACACACATAATGGTATTTAACAGTTGGCTGGGGGTCAGAGGTTTAGTTTTTCCAGATTTCTGTGGTAAAAATATTTTTATTATGGCTAATTTTAAGCTACCAACATCTTGTCATTAGATCTGGAGTAGAGAAGAGATGTTTACAACCAGCAGTGTACCACTACATATAAGAAATTCATGTTATTCAATAAGGAAAAGGAAAACCTAATCTAAATATGGGCAAGAATATGAACAGGCAGTTCACAGAGGGGAAATATGAATGGTCAATATATATGCAAAGATGTTTATTTTACTAGTAAGTAGGGATATACAAATAAAAAATATAACACTAACAATAACAAAACCTTTGTTTTTATCCATTAGAATGCAAAAGTGTTTGATAATATCAAATTAGGTGAGGACATGGAGGGAAATAGTGATAGTCTCACATTGACAGGAGTGTAAATTAGTGTAACTGTTCTTGAGGGCATCCTGGCAGTAGTTATTAAAATTGGAAATGTGCTTTCCTTCGACCTAGCAAATCAGATTCTAATTTCTCCTTTGGGGTGGTATTCTTACTTGCACACAAGAAGATGAATATATTCATTATGGTATTATTTGTAATAAAATTTACAGAACAATATATCCAGTGGTAATATTGTGGTTGTGCTAAAAAACAACCTAGTCCTGTGTACATTATTTATATAATCTGAGCATTTTTTTGAGTGTTTAGAGAAAGAAAGGTATTCAGGAAGTAAGAAGTAGAGAATGGGAAGGGATATATTTGCCCACAGTATGGGTAGTTTGATCAAGGAAAGGAAGAGAAATCGTACAATTAAAAAAAAAAAGGATAAATACAGAAATTATAACATTGGAACAAAAATTGGAAAGCTATCACAAGTCAGGGTAGGAGAGAAGGAATTTATAGATGATGGTGTTCCTAAAAATCAATAGATCACTTTGTTTAAAAAAAAGAGAGATACATTCATAGAGAATGGGGAATTCATATGGTTTTTTAAAAAAATTTATGAATTCCGTTTTGAGTTAGTATCTCAAAGTAACAGTTTTTTTTTTTTCCTAATCCATGGAAGACAAGTAGGTTATTCTTTCTTCCCTTAAATGTTGAAATTGAATTTGGAATTTTTTTTTTAATATTTATTTTTTAGTTTTCGGCAGACACAACATCTTTGTTTGTATGTGGTGCTGAGGATCAAACCTGGGCCGGCACGCATGCCAGGCGATCGCACTACCGCTTGAGCCACATCCCCAGCCCTGAATTTGGAAATCTTGACAGCACTTTTCTGATAATTAACTGTTATCTAGAGATAGTAGTCCCTAAAGGAAGGCAAGATGGCACGGTCTAAAACAAACCAAAGTGATCGATCATACTCAACCATCTGACAAAAGTGCTTGATTAGACTTTTTATCATATCATCAATGCCATAGTTAGTTTGCCAAAAAACAGATCTAATTAGTTTGTGTTCTGTCTCAGAACTTTAAAATCACAAAAGATAGACATGGTAGTGTTTTGGTTTGGTTTAATTTGGGCTTTATATGTTAAACATTCACATTTAAATAATATATTGGTTTTTCTAAAAATTTATAAAGCCCAACTAAAACATTATAACTGAGATTTTAGATCAGAAACATGGAATTAAAATTTTGCCTCGTTTGTCAATCACTTAATTCTTTTTAGTTCAGTACTTATAAAAACCACTGAAGAGGTCAGGGAAGAACATAAAAACATTTCAGGAATAGTAAACAAACATTGCATGTTCTCTCAATTTATTCTTTAAAATTTCCATTAAGATAAATTGTATTAAGTTCAGCTTTTGATATACTTCTCATTTCTTCAGAAACTTTAGTGGTTTTCTACCAAATAAGTCCAGAAGCTTTAGAGTTCCAGTATGCAAAACAGTAAATGAGAGAATGCATATTTCCTGTTTCCATTGCCCAAAAGATTATTTTTATAGACAAATTTAGTTTAAAAGCAGTACTTAACTTCCAAGGCTCTTGTGTTCCATCATCCAAGCACAATAATATAGAACCAAAAATTTTAAGTGAGAGTTAAAAATTAGTTGCTTTTTGTACAAAGACTCCAAAACATAGATTAGCAAATACATAGTTTTATTTTGTTAGTGATAGTTCATGAACAGAACCAGTGAGAGGAAATGCTGCCATGGTAACATAAGCCAGACTGTTATTTGCAGCAGTACTCAGGATACTTTACTGCCCTGAAACTGCAAGTTTTTAGTACTAGATCTTGCAATTTGCTATTTCAAGGAAATAGTAATTCTACTGTGATAAAAACAATTTGCAGTACTCTCACAATAGAATTTGAAAAGTAGACTTGAACTAAATTGTTTCTAGGAGTGGAAAACCTAGGTAGAATATGGCTAAAATTATTAAAAGAATTGTTTCATTCGGTGTATGAAAAATAATGCCTGCATATCTTTCTTTCTTTTTTTTTTTTTTTTTCTTTTTTTGAGGCAGTGTCTCCCTATCTTGCCTAGGCTGGTCTCAAACTCCTTGAGTTCAAGTGATCTTCCTACCTATCTCCTAAGTATCTAGAACTATAGGCACCTACCACTGTGCCTGGCTCCTTGCATTATTATTATTTCTTCTTCTTCTTTCTTCTTTCATCTTTCTTCTTCAATTGAATTGGCTTTGGGACAAAGAGTATTATAGTTGCTAAGATTTCAAAGTTTTATTTCCCTTCCTTAAAGCATATTTATCATTTGGTTCACATGACCAAATATATATCTAAATTTCATCACTTAATCCAAAAAACATTTGTATAAAACTTTTTTTAGACCAAAAATCATAATGTTGAATACTTCCTTGATATAATTTATGTGATATCTTGCTACTAAATACCAGAAAGATTGATCTGATATTCTAATACATTCTTCCTATATGACAGTGTCATAGGATATCCATAGTTTTTCTTTTCCTTTACATTTAAATTGCTGGAATGTTTAAAAATGCCTTACACTCAATTGTTGTATCTTTTCACAGATAGGAGTTTTTTGTTTTCCTTTCTAAATTTTTTTTATCCCTATTTATTATCTAACTTGTGTCTCATGGTCAGAATTAATTTATTTTTGTTCTTATTATTAGTTTTGTTAAACTCTCTTATCTCTTAGGAGTAAAGGAATAAGAATATAATGTTATTTACCAATATTCAATAAACCTTTCTATGTGCCAAGTTTGGAATAACCCACTTATTTTGCAGCTGTGTCATCTACATATAAATTACCTTTTTGAATCTCATCCCACCTTAGTGAAGTGGCCTGGATTAGTGTTTTGTTTGTGGATAAAATGTGATGGGAGGTCTAATTCTCAGAGATTAAAATATTTGTCCAGTGTCACATAGCCAGTCAATAAGCAATGATTGGGATCTCAGTCTTTTGTTTTGTGTTTTATGTTTGTTTTCTTATTCTGACGATTGGGCTAGAACCCAAGGCTCACACAAATAAGCACTCTATCACTGAACTACACTCCAGCTCTTAGTTTCTCAGTTTTTAAATTTGTGGAACCATTTTCTTTTTATTATGCCATTATTCTGTAAAAATTATGTCATAAGTACGCCTGTAATCCCAGCAACTCTGGAGGCTGAAGCAGAAAGATCACAAGTTCAAAGCCAGCCTCATCAATTTAGCAAGGCCCTAATGCAACTTAGGGAGACCCTGTCTCAAAATAGAAAATAAAAAGGGATGAGAATGTGGCTCAGTTGTTTGTGCCCCTGGCTTCAATCCACAATGCAAAAACACAACCAAACAGAAAATTAGTTTGAACTTCTCTAGTATTGTGAGTTGGAGGAAATTTTGTACATCACATGGGTACTACAATCACTAATTCACTTCAACTTTTGTATTGTACTCAAAAGATACTGGAGGGTTCCCCTCCATAACATTTATTAAAAACATTCTGACACTGATTGTGTATGTTTAAAAATTCCATGTTACTAATTCATATGCATTTTTTTGTAGGTTAATGGCAAAGGTTCCTTATGGTGTGTTGATCCAGAATATAAACCCAATCTTATGCAGGCACTGAAGAAGCAACCTTTTTCCTCAGAGCCTCGTAACTGTCAGTGGTGAGTTAGATGGTTTTATTGTGTGAGTTGGAAAAACTTAACAAAGTTGTTCGACTTTTTAATTGTATAGAGAGGTATCTGTGTATGATATTAACCTAAAGCATTTATGTTTACTTATGGTTGAATTTGTGTCTAGGAAATAAGAAATTGGATAATTGAGAACAAATAAATTATTAGAAATATAGTCAGTATAATATATGATGAGTAAATGCAAAAGAAAGTTATAATTTTAGTCACAGAAAGGTTAAATCATTTTAATTGTTTGCAGTACTACTCAGACCATAGGAAAGTGAAAGTATATTTTAAAATTTTAAATAAGACTATTAACAGTTTGTCATTATAACATTTTTATATACATTTTTAGAGTTCCTATTTTATTTTTTTCCTCTTTAATAGCACTTTTAATATTTAAAGTTTGTTCTAAAAGTTTAAACAGCAAGTGGAATACTTTTTTGAAGGCTCCCCCTTCCTCGTAAAAGTAATTATAATGTATTTTCCTATAATTTCCCTTGGCTTTTATTTTTAAACCCAGTTATGACAAGTACTGTGACACACATCTATAATCCTAGCTACTCTGGAGATGAGGCAGGAGGATGACAAATTTGAGGACAGCTGGGCAATTTATCAAGACCTTCACAAAATGGAAAAGGGCTGAGGATGTAGCTCATTGTAGAGCAGGCTTATACTTAATGCCCAGTACTGCAAGAAAAACAAATAATAAACCTAGCTACTCCTATGGATTTTTTTCTAGCTTTCTCTTTTTAAGTTAGATCTGAAAACTCCTTAAATACTTGTAGTGGTAGTCTGTGATGCTTAACTTGTATTTTGAAAACTGTAAAAAGGTTTTTAATAGGGGCTAGGGATGTGGCTCAAGCGGTAGTGAGCTCGCCTGGCATGCGTGGGGTGCTGGGTTCGATCCTTAGCACCATATAAAGTAAAATAAAGATGTTGTGTCCACCGAAAACTAAAAAATAAATATTAAAAAATTCTAAAAAAAAGGTTTTTAATATAATGAATGAAAAATTTCAAACACATGTAAGGGAGTACATTATAATGAACTCTGAGACGCAACAGTTATTAATATTCATATAATGGTTCATTTGAATTCTTAAGGTATTATTAGATATAGAAGAATGGTTACAATTGAATACTGTAAAAAACTAGGAAAACTAGAATTGAAATGCTAATAATATGCACACCAATTGAGATTTTAAGTTTTTACCATATTGGAAGATTAGATGGATCATTTTTTAAAAAAACTACAGAGTGATTTCTCCTTGTGAAGTAAAACCTAGAAAAGAAGTTATCCGTACTTGTATCTTCATCTGGGAGTTATTTTCTTTGGTATTAGTTAATATTGGTGTTTATGAGGTGTTCTAGTTAAGTTATACATTAGAAACTAGTGAAAAGTTCTAGTTAATGTTCACTTGTGTGTTTTATTTAACTGTGCTTTTTTTTTTTT